CGACTGTAGTTTAAAGGACTGGCAGAGGCTTTGACATCCTGAGTGGAAGATCTCTCTTGTTTCAAGCCCTTGAGTTCCTTCTCCATACTAGACAGCCTGGACTCCATGCCTTCCATCTGCTTAGAAAGGGCCCTTATTTCCTGGAGAAGTCTACTATCTACAGTAGTGACACACTGCTGTGCAGGAACAGACTCATTAGGAGTATTAGAAGTAGAAACAGAAATATTGGCCTGAGGGGTTGCCTGCTTGGGTGGAAGAGGGAGAGAAGTGGCTAACCGAGACAAGCGTAAGTCTTCCTCAATGGCTCTCAACTCTTTACGAAGAGTATTGAAGTTGAGGTCCTTCTGAAAAAGAAATCGAGAGGCATTCTTCAGCTCTATATCTCGGAGGCCTGACCACAACCTACCCCGCAGCATCTCATCCTTGGACATCCTATCAAGATTGCACGGTATCCTGCTAAGCAACCTCTCCAGACGCAAACTATAGTCAGCAACAGACTCATCCACCTTCTGCTGTTCATTATAAAACTGTTCCTTCAACCTTTCAGTTGAATGAACATTACCATAAATGCCATCTAACTCATTCAAGATCTCAGGAACAGTGGCATTTTCACCTAAATGCAAAAGAACACCTCTGGCACTGCCTTTCAAAGATTTACGAATGGCCTCCCTGATAATAAATGGTGGATAATTACCCTCATCAATGACACAATTAACATCATAGCGCCATATCTCGAACATTGACGAGTTGTATTTCCCATCTCCTGAAAAAGAAGGTAACTCAGGGATACGGGCATGTACCAAGTCCCTATTTGTCACAAAAGACAAGTATGGTTGAGGGTTAGGCATGGGTGGAGGAATGCTATAAACAGGTGGAGGAAAGTGAACCTGATGTGTACCTGTTCTGCTGATATGTTCCCGTATAGGAGTAGGTGTAACATTAAATGTATGACTTGAGTGTACTGTATGAGGTGTACTTGCCATTGCATTAACTTGAAACTTACCAGATTTCTGTAACTGTCTAGCAAAAAATTCTAGATCTGCATCTGAATAGTCTAAGGACTGAGTTGTACCATCCGCCATGATGAGAAAACAAAAAAAAATGGATTGGACCAAAAAAAAAATAAATGTGACTTAAAATTCAGGATTTCAAATGGCCCAAATTGTACACCATACACTAAAAAAATGATTTACATCAGTAACCAGCTTAGGTCTATATAGATGTAATAAAAAACAAACAATAGAAATAAAACAATTTTATTTCAAGAGAAAAAACACAAAGACTTGAAAATAATCAATCAACTTTATTCAAATTATGGCCCACACAGTGCACCATACATTACACACAATTTCAAGGTCACCTGAATAATATATGTACCAGATACAGTCAGTAAATTAGATCAAAGTTTGTAAAACAATAGATCTAATAACACTGATATTCAGTCTCTATTATAAAGCAGTATTAAATTCAACTGAATAATATTCAGTGCTTAACTTACTAAATAAATAACTTATTACAGACCCCTAAGATTGTCAAGTTACAGGTAACAAGTCTATAAAATTATATTGTGAAATGCACAGACACTTGTTCAGTTACTTGCTATAGTGTATAAATTTCAACTAATTTATGGTAATTGCAAGAGACACACAGGCTTGTGAAATTATATGCAGGAATTCTGTATTGCAAACAATGTTCAGTCCAGTACTCTATACAATATCAGAAAAAAAATCCCAAAGACCTAACTTACATGTATATAGATTATCTATAAATTTACCTGCTCAGGCACAGACTCAACTTAATACAAGTACACACAAAGCTAACCGGAATAAATAAATGTGTAAAGTTTCCTATCTTCTGATTTAGACAATTATTTCAATGCAAAATGTTTAATTTTCAGTTCATAAAGTAAAATAATATGCCTATCAACAGACTTTTTATAATGACTAAATGAGTAGAACCCAAATTATCAACTTTTCAGCTGTGATACAGTAGCAACAATTGATTTGCTATTTGTATATATGTTAAATTCTTGTAAATATAGAATAATTCTATATAAGAAAATATATTACCACTTACACAAAACACTTCACTATTCGAAAATGAAGAAGAAGTTTAGTGTCGGTTCTCACAAACTGTGTATAAAAATATAAAATCAGCGGGATTCAAAAATGAACAATTTATTCTAATTAAAGAATAAATATTTCACTTCAAATCTATTTACCGGCTACATGATACCGTCGCAGTATTTCAAATGAAATGCTATTTTAAGTTTACAGAATTTTAAATATAATTGATTTTAACTGCCCGGGTTGAACAATTTATTCTAACTAAAGAATAAATATTTCAAACCTACTTGTATACTTTATTTATATTTACTCACAAGTCAACTACAATGATCTGTTCCTACAATAAATGCTAAACTATTCAATCTACATGCTTACTTCAGGCAAAATTCTGGTTCAAGCAAGTCCTGCTTATAATAATAATAATAATAATAAAGATAGGTACAGTAAGTAATACTAATCAGCTACAATAAGTTATCAGAATAGGCTATGAAATAATTCAGCTGTTGGATATATAATATCTGGGGTAATATAGGATTTATTACAGTAAATGGACAATACCAGACTGGGTGGAATTAATTTCAAATAGGGACAGGTGTAATATACTAGTTATTCAGACCAAGATGAAAGATAAAAGAGACAGAGTGTTAGCTCACCAACCACCTGATAGTTAAATGCTGTGTCTACATGTCTGTGTCAATCTTCAAAATGCCAGCAACAGGATAAAAATCAATATCACAGAAGCCTGAAGTACAAGACTTTGTGGAATTCAACCTAAAATATACAAAATCAAATAATAATATACATGTATATCTATGGTTCAAAACAAATTGATTTTCACATGTAGATCTTGATTAAGATTTAACACCACTCAATATAGATAAATGAAAAAATCAACCTAGATCTACATTATACAATATAACAATAAAATGGCACTTGATACTAATTAAATTGAAAAAATATGTAAACACTGTCACTGAATTTAAACTAAAGAATTTACTAATTACACTGTTTGTTTACAAATGTTCAAAGTCCACAAATATATTGTTGTAGTCTAAATGGTCCGAAGAAGTGAATGATCCAACGTTGATATATAAATAAGAAAAGGTACCTTTAATTAATTAAATGTAAGAGCTCTTGAAAATATAGAAAAATAACTAGCAAGTTGAAGCTTTTGTTTATATTCATGAAATTCCTCGGGAGTACCCGGTCACCGGAAGTAAACCAAAAATATAAAAGCCGTTCTGATTGGCTGTAGTTGGGAAATCCCTACGTCACCCTTTGTGTTCGCAGTTTCGTCACCAATATATTCGTACCATGAAAATACCAATTCAAACATAAAAATCCACACTGGCCACCAATGTCGTATGGTCCTTTTCAAATGTATGAATGGTCTGTTTATGCCTGTAAGGACATAAACATACGCCTTGATAAATAAATAAATAAACAAGACAAACAATTTCTGGCGCAAACCAATAGAAATATTTATACCAAAGTGCATAAATACAGATCCGAAATACATAAACGATCAATGGAAATATGCATGATAATGAAACATAATGAATAACAACAATTACCTGTAAGGACATAAACATACGCCTTGATAAATAAATAAATAAACAAGACAACAATTTCTGGCGCAAACCAATAGAAATATTTATACCAAAGTGCGCATGCGTGAGATGGTTTTTCCGGGAAGTTTGTAAAAACTGAGGCCCGGCATTCAAATTATGTCAAATGAAATATGAGAAATTAGTTGTTATAATGAGATGATGAAATGGAATGATATAGGAATGATATGGGATAATGGAGTGTATATCGGACTGTAAACAGACAAATACAAGAGATATATATACAAATACAAGGACAAAATGATACATAAAAACGATATTCAAAAACACGAATATCGACCACATGACACACAGTTGATAGAACTTTTTTTTCAATATAAATTACATATCATCTCGATTTTTTTTCTTCAAAACTTGAAAATGCAGTTATTATATTAAAGACTTCAGTGGAAAGTAATCGCCATTTTCTGCATCCTGACCTCCAGGACAAGTCTGAAACAATGATCAAATTATTCAGTTTTTACTTCAAACAATGTCTCCGTTTTACAGGAGATTCTGACCAGTAAGCCACTCATGCAGTTATTAAGTCACTACACGTATGAACATAATATTCTAGCGTAATTATTAATAGATGGAAGTAGTGTTAAGAAAAAAAAACAATACATTGTCGTTAGTTTTAAAAAAAATTACGTACAAGATAGACCTCTGAAATATACACCGGGATTCTTATCGACAATATTTCCTAGATTATATTTTGAAAATGAGCATGAAAGATGATTAATATTCTCGCATTCAGAAAAAATGCATCAACTTACCTCGTAAAATGGTTATTTATGTCCAGTTCCTTCAACAGCATGTAATGGGTATATTTCTGTGGGTATTTCTTAAAATATTTATATGTTTAAATAAAGCAAATATTACGAGAGAGCGTAAATCTCCAAGAAAAAAGTCGTGATGGTCATGCGATAAAACAGTTACAGAATACATGTAAATACTCAGACTTCACCGGCTGGTATCAGTGCACGGGGCGACACAAGGGTCAATCACGGAAATTAATATCGACGTTTCGTCTCGATTAATTTCTTATGATTGACCCTTGTTGCCCCATGCGCTGATAGTCCTCGTATATATTCTATAACTATTACTTACAATACATCTTTATATAAATCATTACATCACATTCCAAGTCATGAAGGAGACAATATTTTTGCTAGTTCCATTACTTTATATATCGCTTTTTTTGACATAGGTCTAGCAGTACTATAAAACCTGTTCGCTGAAGTCCATGTAAGCTCTATATTTTTGCCTGATTAACATGAAGATGGGGCGTTGTTTCACTGGTACGAATTACAATAGCTGAGTAGTTTCCCTTGGGAGAGTACTTTGTTTATAGCAACAAAAATGGCGCTGCTCGTTCGGGATCCGAAAGGTGCAGAGTATGCAACCGCCGAGCAAGAACTCCAAGAAAGGATTTTAACTATATATGGAACTACGGAAAATGAAGATCAATTATTCAGGTTTGATCTACGTCTCGTTTTAATCATGAAATGTAATCATTTTTAAAGAAAACTAGCATTTAACTGTTAATTGACAAACCGGAAGTTATCATTTTGATTAATTGAAAGTGTCTTTTTTTTCGGGAAAATGTGCGTGTTGTTATTTGACGTCAAATTGACGTTGTCTTTTGAATTAATGGATCTTGGTGATTTATAACTACACCAAAATGAAGGATACTTCTGTTATGTACGAGCTTTTAGGTACTGTTCAACGGTACAGCAATAAAGCATCTGGGTAAGAATTTTATCTGATATCAGTTTGATATTGTGTATAGGTAAAGGCAAAACTTCCTTTCATATGCTCTGGCAGCAGTTATGCACCACTTCCATTTTCAATCGGAACACCTGAACTATTTTTCTTGATCCAAAAAGTCGCGATTGTTCCATTATCAGAATGTACACCGGCAATTATTATTGCCTTTCAATTTCATTGAAAATGACAGCGTCCAACTAGAACTGACACTGAAATTTTCACTGATAGGTGAAGAATTTTATGTATTTTTAATTGTTTTTTTTTATTTGATATTTTGTTTTAAATATACATGATGTGTAGTCTTATCCGGGTAAGCCAAAGTCCAGTCCCACTTTGCGGCCCCCAGCTGGAATTAGGTCTCCCCTATAGGGTTAATCTTTTAATTGAGTTTTCATATTAGTATTGATTATGTATGCCCAGTGATTAATAGATATACCTGTAGCTTTTATTCAATATTGATCAAGTTGAATAAAGGAAATGGCTATCTATACTAGATAAAAACATACTCAGGCCTTGATGAATTTTTTGGGACACTGGCCGTGCGGGGCGAGTGACCCTCCAAATTAACTTGCCCTTAACAAAATGCAGTCGCCCTGCCATTTAACGGATAAAATTTGTAAAAATCAATCACATTAAACTAAAATTTACTAATTATTAAGTGACTAGTCTATATCGATATAATTGCCTTTATACATTTACATATTGTACAATAATGTTTACAATACTTTTATTCTTTTATTATATAATCTTCAACATAGCCTGAACACTTATTCCATTCAAATTTTAACACACTCAGCTAAAATATCGACATCATGGTTAAGTATAAAACACTACCGAATGCGTATGTATAAAATATTGTTGAATGCTGCTGTTGTTACGCATTCAATAAAGTTTTATACTTAAGGTCAGTTTCCGGTTTTTGGTTGACAGTATTACAATTGAAATGATGTCTGCTGTTTGATTTTCTAAACCTAAAAACTTTATTTATATTAGATATTTAGAGAAACATCATTTTGATCTGGAGAATCTTACTCGCCCTATTCGGCGAGTTTGATAAATTTTTTACTTGCCCGACCCAAACTTTTACGAGGAAATATGAGCGGGCGAGTGGATTATTCGAGGCCTTATACAAATGTACTAATTAGTCCCCTACCGGTTTAACCGGAGGGGACTTTAGGTTTACCCTCCGTCCGTCTGTCTGTCCGTCTGTCTGTCTGTCAGTCCGTCCGTCCACAAAACTGGATCCCGCGATAAAGCAAAAAGTACTGAAAATTCTTTTATGAAACTTGATATATGGATAGATGGCAGTATGGACATTATGCACGTCTTTTTCTTTTCTTCCTATGTTGAAAATTCTGGTTGCTTTGGCAACAAATAGTCTGAAAATATGGCAAATATAACACATAAACTTATACCAGGATCCAGTGATAACTCAAAAAGTACTGAAAATATTTTTATGAAACTTAAAATATGGGTAGATGGCAGTCTGGAGATTATGAAAATTCTGGTTGCTATGGCAACAAATAGCCTGAATTTCAAGATTTCTGATTTAAATTTTTCAGCTTTTTCACTATAAGTTCTTTATTTCTTAAGGTGTTTACTTCAAACTTTAAATATAAGTTTCTGGCCATCAACCACATCATATATGACAAGGTTTACAACTCTAGCACAAAAATTATCAGCATTACCTCCCTTGAACTTAGAATTTTTATGAAAAAAAATGTTGTCTTTTTTAAATAACTTCTTTATTTCCTAATGTATCTACTTCAAACTTCATATGTATGTTTCTTATTATCACTCAACATTTTTGAGGAGGTTAAATACTCTAGCAAGACTATTATCAGAATTATCTCCCCCTTGAACTTAGATTTTTTTCGACTTAGATTTTTTATAGGATTTACTTTAAAATCCCACATTATAATAATATGACAGGGTTGTATAAACATAATTTCCTTACTAGGCAGGGAAACTTAACACATTACTGTGATATAGACAAACTTAGAACTCAAAAGATTTAAGTTCATTCATGTCATTCATCCACTGGTAAAATTGAATGGCCAATGGCCCATCAGAATGTTGCTGGGGTTCTAACCGGTAGGGGACTTATGGATTGCTTGCAATACTATGATAATTGCTTGTTTGTAATGTTTTAATCATACTTACATATTATAATGTAATTTTGACATACATTAAGTTATTGTTTTTTGTTATTAATTGTTTGAAAATACTTTATGGCTAGCCTCTTTAAGTGTGTATATAGGCTAGCCATTCTTTACCCACATACAACTAGAGGTTTTGGCTAGCAATATGGGTCTTGACATAACTAAATCAAGAACTGTTTATGATAACAAATAAATGATTAAATAAAATTTCATTTATGTTCTGCTATTATAAAATTTAACATGTCTTTAAGTTTGTATAACCGCAATGACATTACTTCTAAATATTTTCACTTTCTTGCACAACCATTTTTACAGTGTGGCAAAATCTGTATGGGTATGTCACAATGTGATAAGTTACCATGCAGTCTTATAGTTTTATGCAGAATTTACTTTAGTTTGATTATGCCCAAAGCTTAAAGTGAGATTATAGGAACATGCTTGGATCTGTTCTAAGTAATAAGAGTCAAGGAAACAATGGCTTGAAGCTACACAATTAACAATCCTTATATTACTAGTCTGATGTGTTGATATGATTGTTTTTTATTTTACAATTACCTGAATTATTATACAGTGTGGAAAATTTCATTCTTTTTTATGTTGTATAGCACAGGGTTTTCATTTTTACATACAGGCCACAGATGTGCCAACAAAAAGAGCAGATGTGGCCGTGGGTCAAGGGGATATTTTAATATATACAGGCTGAAAATGCAACCAATTTTAACAGCATTTTAATGTTTAAAATCTTTAGTGGGTAGAATGCACTTCACAAATATGCACTAATAGTGCATGTCCTAAATTTTAAAATGGTTACCACTTTGGATTGAATAAAAAAGGGTGTTGTAGGAAAAGAGGAGTTCAGAAGCAATTGCCCTTGATATGAAGCAGATAGAAATGGGGACTTCAAAAGAAATGAATAGCCTTAAAGGCTAACAAAATTGTACCTTATTGCCCGTTTGCTAGCTTACAATAAGCTTGCTTGTAACAGGAACTTCTATTTTTAGATACTGGCCAAGTGTATCTCAGATCTTTTGTATGCTTGAATTAATTGTCTCTCTATAAATATAAAAGATAAAATTTTGAAATTCCCATAATCTTATTATGCATGTTTTATGTATAGTCACACCTTATTGAAAATCACAGAACATGATTTTCTCTATTCAGGCCTGACCTTGCTGACCAGCACAAGGTTGGTTTCTTCGGACTTGACCGCGGGTCGCAGACAAATGTTACGGAGATTGTTGACCTTAAGGAGATGACAGAGGTCCTCCAAATTCTCTTACAGGTATTAAAGTTGTTTTTTATAAATTCATTGTATTGAGTCTGTATATAATGTATTCATTATGATCGAGGCTCATAGGAAAGACTGGGATTGCCTAACAGTTGTGTTATCTCTTTAAATAAAGTTGTTAATATTATTATTATTATTATTATTATTATTATTATTATCATTATTATTAATATAAATCTGGATATATTTATATATAGAGAAGTCAGCAGTAATAACATCCTTACAAACACATATTTCATAATTGATAATAATTGGACTGAGCTCAGCTGCCATACTTACAATTTCTTTCTATATTTATTTTACATATGTAATTTATTTTAATCAGTTAAGATTTTTGTAGCACATTGTAAAAAAGAGAGATGCTTAAATGTCAAATGGCACAAAATGCTTTCAGTATTAACATTTTAGAAAAAAATCTGTAAATTAAAGTAATTTGGAAAGTAAAAATGTTAATACCGGCATGTTTTATTCACTCAACAATGATTTTCAATGTCAGAGATTTGTCAAATTTGAATGTACATTAAAGATATACTTTTGCTTTAATGTTGTTGTTGTTTTTTTCTTTCAGGATGTTGCTACGTTAAAGAGAGATATAAACTTTGCCAAGCATGTGATGCAAGCAGATTATGAATCTAAATTACAACAAAAGTCTCTAGAACTGTAAGTTTAGACTTTATAACACATAGTTTTGTACCAAAACTAACAAAAATAAATTATAAAAAAAACAAAGAATATAGTTTATATTTGAAATCTTGGCAGTCATCATTATTAGCTTGACTTTTTCGAAGAAAAAGTCTAGCTATTAAATACTGCTGTGGCGTCGTTGTTGTCATGCAAAACCTTAAATGTAGACCAATTATTCAAACTTTTCGAACAGTATCAATGTGAAACTTATCATGACAATGTCCAGTAACTGTTATAAAACAAGAGACATTATTCTGAAAGTTATATTTTTGAAGTTATACCCCTTTTCGAATTAGAATTTTGTTAGAATTGGTAATAGATGGTCAATTAATGCCCTTTACAGACAAGCATTAACTCCATATGTGATGATCTTGTTTCAGCTTCAATTAATGGTCGTGCTATTCTTATAAAAAATTCACAAATGACAACTTGCCCTAGTTGCCATACTTAAAGGACAAGTCACCAATACTTCTGGTCAGTGTTCAGCATAATTAATCAAGAAAATTTGTGTTTGATCATATTATAATGTAGCATATTTTTATTATAGGTACTGCAGAATAAATGAGCGTGTAACTGATTTAGAAAAGATGCATGAAGAGGTAAATGATTTGAACATTTCATCTGTTATTTTGACATTTCTTATTTGATTTTAACAATACATTTAGTGATTTTGATATTACTGTCCTAATTTTGATATATTTTCTTTTGTGATTTTGACATAGTGATATGATTTTGAAATACCGATTTTGAAATACCGATGTGATTTTGACATTTCACTAAAATTTTGTGATTTTGACTGACAACATTTCAATTATTTTTAGTATTTAGAATTGCATTTAGAATCTTAAACTAAAATTTGAAAAAAGATCCCCCAAGAGAATAGTTCAAAAAAGCTACGAGCTTTCTTAAATAGATTTTAATTAAATAATTGACTGATATAAGTAAATTATTGCTTGTTTTTAGAGAGTGGGAACAGTAAGAAGGGCATTTAGACAACAGCTTTCAGATGCAATAGCTAGGGTAGCAGTACTGTATAATGTAAGTATGACCAACACAGTGAGTTAACGAGTCTTCAGAGATTGAACTTGGTTTGTCATTTGAATAATAACTTTGGTTTTAGCAGGACTATTCAAAGAATAGGGAGAACCTTTATACTGACCAAGGCTGCGGCATCACATTTGGTTAAGATTTTGCGTATGAGTTGGTATCTACAAAGCTACTGAATGGAATGGGTTGAAACTGGACACACTTATTTGAGAGCATAATAGGACTGGTCACTGTCCAAGGTCCATAACTATAACATGGATTTTGATAGAGATAGATGGAATTAAAAATGTTGACATTTAGAATTAGATAAGGACTTGGTAACAATGTTAGCATTAATTGTATCCCCAAAGAATATTGATTTTAGTCAAAAACTCCGATTAGATGAGACCATTACGGTAACACAAAGGCATGCGCGCTATATGGTGGCGATTATGGTGTTGTTTGTTGTCTTTTTTCCGGCATAAATTTTGTGTAGCTTGATAATACACCAATGTATTGTTGTAAGACAAAAACCTTTTCAGACGCAGGAGATCAAAATCTCTTGAAACGCAGATTTGTTAATCAAGGGTAATAAATATAGGATGAATGGATTATTATGGATTATCGCCTACGCTCGGTATTCCCTATATCCTAAACTAAAAATAATACACAAATTTTGTGTTATATAAGAAGATAATTTCTGTCTTATTAAAGCTTATTTCATTTTTACCCTCAGAAAAATCTTCAGCGTAAGGTACGAATGGAAAAGTCAAAGCACGAGGGTGACGCTGACAAGCTGGAGGAGAAGTACAAAGAGTTGCAGCAGACGATACAGAGGAATGAGTCCATCATACATATGTTGAAGATGCAGATACAACAACTACAGAATAAAGAGCCGAGTGTAGCAGACAGCGTAAGTTAACGTCCGCCTTTCTCTTTGTCCTCGCATACTATTTTAATTTATGATTATTGGATCTATGTCTATATGACATTAGTATTATGTATACCAGTTTTGTAGGGCACTGGATATTGCTAAAATAATGTTTTACTTTGCTCTCTTTTTATAATGGATTTGTATTGCTTTGAATTTTGAATAGTCAAATCTCAAAAAAATAAAATTAGGCAGCCTTATTATTAGGCAGTCCTGTCAGGCTGTAGAGAAGTGCAGGTATTCCAGCTATAAATGTAAATCATTATTATTGGTATTGTACGGAAAATACCAAAGAACAAGAAGAAAATTTAAAATATTTTTTTTGCCATATGTATATACCTGTAGTTTAAAAAGCTTTCTATGGCAAAATTACTCTTGTTTGTATCAGAATAATGAGTGCTTATTTTCAGTATCATTATCAAAGCTTTCAATATCATGCTTGAGATGTGTTTTATGCTATAAGTCATTATTATGTTATCTAGCATAAGGGATCATAGATACCTGGATTGTTATCCACTGCTTTTGAAATTCATGACACATACTTTCCATGTAACTGTGATGCTACAATAGCAGCAGCTCAGTAGCTTATTTCTTCTTTAACTTTCTATTGTCGTAAAAGAAGGAACATGCTCGTCAGTTTTTAAATATGATGAAAATTAAAGTGAAGGCTTTAAGTGCTGAATGGATGTTATTCTGATTAAACACACAAGAAAAACATGCTGCTTCTTTACAAAAAAAGCGAACAAGTTTCTCAGATAATTATAAATTAGGATTATACACAGGTTGTTATGTAGACTCGTATTAAGCGAGACTCTGTCAAGCATAATATTACATTTCTTGGACAAGTTCATTGAAAATCTGAGCTAAATGCTAGCATAGACATGCACAAACTTTAGTCATTTGCACACACATGTAAATAAAGGTGATTTGATTCCAGCCATCATTAGCCGACTCCGGACGACCATCAGCGGTGACACCTCAAACTCCGGTAAAATGGCACTAACAGTTTTATACTAATGTGTAATACTCTCGACTTACGCCATACTTCTAAATGACATTAAAAAAATGTGATGTTGTTTTCTTTTTTTCAGCCGTTTGAATTTAAACTGTCACATTATGACATATCTAATCTAATAAGCTCTTAAAAATTCTAAATATTTTACTAATTACCATGTTTTTGATTAGGTCAGTAAGCATTAGTTTATTACTCAGTGCGATAATTTATTTTTTGGAAAGTATTTCATGACTTTCCAGATACTAGACAATAGACCAAAACAAAACTTGGTAAAACTTGTATAATTATTGAAGGGAGAAAAACGTTAATATATCTTGTATCAAACATTTTGGTTAATTTATCTGAAATGGAAACTTTGTAAAACTTGTTCAGTTTTGCAAAGATACTCATTGTTCCTTAACATACACTTTGTTGTTAATTTTCTTTTCATTTGATATATATTTTGAAGTATGGTGTGAGATGTCTAACTGAGCCCCTTAACATAATCTGGTATTTGTACAATAATCTGTAACAGTGGCATTCACTCTAAATGTCGTAATATATTATACAAACATATTTCCTTCATATATGTATTATCAAATCATTCCTTTTCAAAGTTCAAACAATAGTTACCTAAGCCACAGGCAGCGTATATATAGAGGATATTTGTTAAGTTCAGTGTAAGATCGGAATATATTTCACCGAGTGAGCACCAAAAGGTATATTTCACGAGTGGCGCAGCCACGAGTGAAATATGAACTTTTGGTGTTCACGAGATGAAATATTTTTCGATCTTACACTAAACTAAACAAATTTTCTTTTTATTACATGCTAAGAAACGTTTAAAAAGATATTTTATCCTAGTACTAAATGAAAAGCGCGCCAAATTCTAATACGACGTGACGTCATTTACGACGTCATGTCATTAAGCTGGTTTCCAGTACTGTGCACGCTGGTATTTCACTGAGACAACGTAACGGGCTTAAATTCAAAACAGTGAAATTATCAAATTGATAATTTCACTGTTTCAAACAGTGAAATTACCAGTTTATAAATCACTGATATATTTCTATAATCCACCGAAAAGCATGTAATAAATTCTTTTATAGTACTTTAATTTAGCAAAATTATTTGCTGTGTGTTTGAATCCTGTTGAGTACATAGGATTCTTTCATATAAGGAAGCTATCCGGCTAGTTTGCAAACAGTCTGTGGTTCTACACAGGTACTTACTCATGCCTGAAATAATGCATGAGAAGCACCTGAGGTTTTCCTCCACCAGTAAAGCTGGAAAGTCAACATATAACCTTGGAAAGAGGCTATATATGAACTTTGGAGTGTCTGTGTAACCAAAAACAAACAAAATTCTAATTATTTTTAATTTTGTTCCTATTCAAGACAAATCCTTGTTATAAAACGAAAATCTTTTTGAATGCCACGTTACAGTTAGATACATGTACATCAGATATTTAACTTTCTCTTACTATAATAACTTTTTAATATTGTAGATGTTTACATTCTTCTTAGAATAGAGTTATATTTATCATTTGAGCCATGTCACGACAAAACCAACATAGTGCGTTTGCGACCAGCATGGATCCAGACCAGCCTGCGCATCTGAGCAGTCTGATCAGGATCCATGCTGTTCGCTTACCAACTCTATTACAAGTAGCGAAACTGATAGTGAACAGCATGGATCCTGATCAGACTGCGCTGATGCACAGGCTGGTCTGGATCCATGCTGGTCCCAAACCCATTATGTTGGTTATGTCATGACGCGGCTCATTTATTATATGATTTTAACTTCAGTTAAGCCGATTTTTATTTCTGATATTATAAATTTTTCTTTATTTTTTTTCATATTTTGTATTTTATTTGTTTTCTAGATTGTGTGAGTGATTGTTAACTAATTTAATGACATCTTATTTTGAAGATTTTATTTAACACCCTAACCTCATCTTATCCTGAATCTTTCAATAACCAGTAAAACCTAATTTTAAAAAATAACATTGCAGCCACTTGTTGAAAAACATCCGAGTTGTGAAAGTCAATTTTTTTAATGAGAAAAAGAGACTAATCATTTAAAAAAACATATATAAAGACATTTTCTTTGCAGAGTAGATCATTAGTTACTAGATAAATATAAATATTTTCTATATTAATAGAAACAAAGAAGATATTTATGCATGCTAATGAAATACTGGATAGGGAGGAAAAAATTTAACAGAAACTTTTGTTTAATTTTATTAATTTTAGTAATATTACTTTGAGATATTCTGATAAAGAGATCGTGACATCAAAGAAAAAATACAAACAATACTGTATTATAAATCAAATTGTGATGATTTTACACATATATCTTTTAAGAAAACAATGAATTATGCTACCTTATTCATTTTCCGTAGGTTTTTTCGGTTATATATATTTTTCTGGTCATTTAATTTTTAATGCATTAAGTTACTGTAGACTGGCAATGAATAAATGTTGTTGTTTTTATTTTTTCATAATTTGCTAGTTAACTTATGGCCAATAAAGTGAATATTAATTATGTTATACGGAATATGCATGCTCTTTATTAACAACTTTGTAACAATTTCTTATGTTTAAACCTTTAGCATTAGAGATACTCCAGAACTCGGAAAATGTGGGTTTTTTTCCATCTTATCACAGGGTACCAATTTTTACAGTAATTACATTTCTTAGTTTTAAGTTAATTGTAACATGTAATTTATAAAGTTAATTAATTTAATAATAAAACATTATTCAACAAAATCTATAGCTTTCAATTTGTTTAGCCTACAAAATAATAATAATAACAGTTAGATTTTAACTTGTTTTGTTACATTTTCTAACATTGTGTATTTGATATTATGATTTTTTTTTGGTTTTCATTATAATATTAAATTTTTGCTGTATTTTTTACTTTCTTTTGGGATTCCATTTTAACTTTAAGAAAATATTTACAATGTGTTTGAATAAGTTGAAAAAATTAATGTGTACTGTGTTGATCGCAGAGATTAGTCATATGAAATGTTAAGATATTTGGTAAATGATTTTGCATTTTCAGTGTCATGATGAAGGCGAAAATTGGTATTTTTGTATACTGCATTGTTTTAGAAAGATTATTTTAGAAAATGATTTTGATTGGTTAAGAATTCTTGTTTACAGAGTTCCGCGGGTAAAGCTATGGTGAGTAACAACCTGAATGACTGCATGTTTTGATTAACACAAGTGTAGCATCATAAATCAAATGACCTTAGAAATGATTTTGACTCAAAGTTTCAATTTATATTCAGCCCCTAGCATAAGTAAAGTTCCATGTAATTACCCGTACCCTACTCAAGTTCTAGAATGGACTTGTCCAGCTGCCTTTTTTTGGAACTGTCCTTAATCATTTTTGGGGTTATCAAGATGAAAAATTAAAGGTATAATCCGCGAACTGTGTAGAGCCTGGGAACAGACTGCATGGGTGTGCAGGCTGGTTTGGCTCTATACTCGGGTGGCTCACCTTTGGTTCCAGCAGGTTTAGGGTGGACACAGGTAATATAGTGTATATTCGTGTGATAAGTTTTATTAACATTGAAGTAGGACGTATCAATTGTTTGATATTGGAGCCGCGTCACGACAAAACCAACATAATGTGTTTGCGACCAGCATGGATCCAGACCAGCTGCGCATCCGCGCAGTCTGATCAGGATCCATGCTGTTTGCTTACAAACCCTATTACAAGTAGAGAAACTGATAGTGAACAGCATGGATCCTGATCAGACTGCGGGGATGAGCAGGCTGGTCTGGATCCATACTGGTCGCAAACGCATTATGTTGGTTTTGTCGTGACGCCGCTCATTTGTAATAGAGTGTGTGATATGTGTGATAGTGAACTGTGTGTCTATATATATCAGATTCTGACTGGCAACACAAACAACTAAATTGAATGTGTTTTGTAGCTTAGCTAAGTAATTGGTGATAGAGATTCTTTGTATGATTATATACATTTACTGTTTTGTGATTTATAAAGATTTTTTCCTTTAATTTGTGTATTATTTAATAATTATGTAGTTGTTTTTACTTGATTTTTAGCTCACCTTGCACAAAGTGCAGGTGAGCTTTTAGGATGGCCAACCAAATTGCGTCCGTCGTCAGTCGTCCGTCTACATTTTAAATATTCTAAGGACATCTTCTATGATACAGCAAGGCCAATGTTAATGAAACTTGGCAGGAATACTCTTTGTATGAAGCTCTATCAAGATTGTTCAAAGAATTCCATTTCATGCAGAACTCTGGTTGCCATGGCAACCGAAAGAAAAATCTTTAAATTTCTTCTTTTAAAGAACTGTAAGAGCTAGAGCTTAGATATTTGGCATGAAACATCTTCTAATGAGTGTCTACCAAGTTTGTTCAAATAAAAGCCCTGGGGTCAAAATTGGCCCGGCCCCAGGGTGTCATTGATTTTCCCTATATGCATATAGTAAAAACTTAAAAAATCTTCTTTTAAAGAACCCAAAGAGCTAGAGCTAAGATATTTGGCATGAAACATCTTCTAGTGAGTGTCTACCAAGTTTGTTCAAATAAAAGCCCTGGGGTCAAAATTGGCCCCGGCCCGGGGGGTCATTGATTTTCCCTATATGCATATAGTAAAAACTTAAAAAATCTTCTTTTAAAGAACTGTAAAAGCTAGAGCTTAGATATTTGGCATGAAACATCTTCTAGTGAATGTCTAACAAGTTTGTTCAAATAAAAGCCCTGGCGTCAAAATTGGCCCCGCCCCAGGGGGTCATTGATTTTCCCTATATGCATATAGTAAAAACTTAAAAATCTTCTTTTAAAGAACCCAAAGAGCTAGACCTAAGATATTTAGCATGAAACATCTTCTAATGAGTGTTTACTCAAGTTTGTTCAAATAAAAGCCCTGAGGTCAAAATTGGCCCTGCCCCAAGGGGTCATAGATTTTCCCTATATGCATATAGTAAAAACTTAAAAAATCTTCTTTTAAAGAACCCAAAGAGCTAGAGCTAAGATATTTGACATGAAATATTTTCTAGTGAGTGTCTACTAAGTTTGTTCAAATAAAAGCCCTGGGGTCAAAATTGGCCCCGGCCCGGGGGGTCATTGATTTTCCCTATATGCATATAGTAAAAACTTAAAAAATCTTCTTTTAAAGAACCCTAAGAGCTAGAGCTTAGATATTTGACATGAAACATCTTCTAGTGAATGTCTACCAAGTTTGTTCAAATAAAAGCCCTGGGGTCAAAATTGGCCCCGTCCCAGGGGGTCATAGATTTTCCCTATATGCATATAGTAAAAACTTAAAAAATCTTCTTTTAAAGAACCCAAAGAGCTAGAGCTAAGATATTTAGCATGAAACATCTTCTAATGAGTGTCTACCAAGTTTGTTCAAATAAAAGCCCTGGGGTCAAAATTGGCCCCGCCCCAGGGGGTCATTGATTTTCCCTATATGCATATAGTAAAAACTTAAAAAATCTTCTTTTAAAGAACTCAAAGAGCTAGAGCTAAGATATTTAGCATGAAACATGTTCTAATGGGTGTCTACCAAGTATGTTCAAATAAAAGCCCTGGGGTCAAAACTGGCCCGCCCCGGGGGTCATTGATTTTCCTTATATGTGTATAGCAAAAACTTAAAAATTCTTCTTTGAAAAAACCCAAATAGCTTGAGTTTAGATATTATACATGAAACATTTTTAAGTAATTATCTACAAAGTTTGTTCAAATAAAAGCCCGGGGGTCAAAACTGGCCCTGCCCCAGGGGTGTCATTGTTTTTAACTATATGTGTGTAGTAAAAACTTAAAAAATCTTCTTTTAAAAAACCCAATGAGCTAGAACTTAGATGTTTAGCAAGAAACATCTTCTTATGGGTGTCTACCAAGTCTGTTCAAATAAAAGCCCTTGGGTAAAAATTGGCCCGGGAGGGGGGGGGGCTATATACAGGTGAGCGACCTCAGGGCCATCATGGCCCTCTTGTTTTTTATTGCATGCTGAAGAAAATGTATATATCAATCAGTAAAGTAGGTTAGATCCATGTGATAAGAAATTAATTTGTATTGTTAGATTATCATTTTCAAATAAGGTCTTTAATAAAATCATTTCTTTATTTTTGTATTATGTTAAAGCTGGTAATTTATAAAGGTAATCAGTGATGCAAGATTACCTTGCAATTATTTGTATGTAACATATTTTTGTATAGCCTTTTGTAACAAGTTAATGTAGATGTGTCATATTTTAATATAATTATATGTTTTAACCAGGAATCAGTAATTTACTAAAAATAGTGATATAATGAACATCTGAATAAGTTCAATTATGAATATCTGACAACAGCAGCTTTGATATGAAAATGTGACTTGAATTTCAGAATGATGTTTACTTTTTATATATTAAACTCAGAATCAGCAGTTATTTCAAATTTGAAGTTTATGATAGAAAAACAAAGCTTTGTTTATAATAAAAAGTAGTTCTTCATGTATAATTACATATTTATTCATAAATGAGAATAATGCATTTGAAATTATTTTGTTCAGTTTATATTAAGACTTTGTAGTTTCTTTCTAGCTCTGCATGTGGTATTGTAAAATGACTGATATAAAATTGTAGTAAATGGTTAATATAATTTTTGTTAATTTTACACAGAAATAGAAAAGGAATTTATAACATGGTATGATTATAGAATTCAATATAAAACTTTTAGTTGACATGTAATGTAACCAGGTTGTTGTTTTCTATGAGATAAATGATTTATGTAATATCTTTGTAATTATTACGACATATATAGAGTTTCGGCGAGAGTCCACCGACAACTGCAGTAACGTCAACAAGACCTCCGGTGAGTTTTAACAATTTTCACAGTGATTATTCGCCATCACTGCAATAATGTTATCTTTTAGGTTAATTTTCTCTCTGTGTGTTTTGAATTTCAAGAAAGATATGTGTATCATAAATTAAAGGTAAAATTCATCATAATGGATCAAAGAAAGTTCTTAATCGAATGATGTTATATTCCCTGGAGTAATAAATGAAATTATAAATAGACTAACTGCTTATTCGGCAACATTTTTTTATAAAATTAAAAGAAAAACAGAATGAAAAGTACAAAATGTATTTTAAACTTTTAAGGCTTATTAGAAACCCCATAATTATGATTATATATTTCTTTCAAAAAAGCTTCTTTTTTGGTGTTCTGTCAAAGTTTCAAGATCTCATTGCCATCTAAGCTAAACCATCTTTTATTATAATGTATTTTGGCCATCTGAGTAAAGTTATCGTTTTTTTTTTTAAGGTTTTTTTTTTAAAATCAGAATACAATAATTGTACCGCTTTGTTTACATTTTGCAAGTTTACATTTTGCAACCAGATAAATATATAAAACATGCTCTATATCCATTATAAAAGTATTTTTCAGAGCACAGGTTTGCTTTTTTCAGAGGAAAAATCATTATAAATTTCTGAGGCTCAATGTGTCTTTAAGTTAAAATCTTAATTTCATTCCTTCAAAATGTTTATGAGCACAGATGAGATCATTATTAATGTAGCAAGATAAAAAAAGAAATTGCCCTGATTCCAGGCCATATCAGTTACCCAAAGTGCATTGCTTTTACATTACCCATAATGCATCCTGTTATATCATTAAGTCAGAATGTACTGGAAATTAAGATTGTACTTTTACAGCAGTTTTTTTATTTATTGGTCTCGGTAAATCGTTCAAGTTCACTAGGCTAGTCGTCTCAAACCTTTAATTGATGACTCCCCTTTAGATAGTCAGTCGGATTAAATCCCAGGTTGCCTGCGCATATAACAATAAATCTTACCGATGTATATGCAGTTTTTACGAGATACTTTTCATTTGCAACTCGGTGGGTTTTGGCAAAACCAGGAGTTTTATGTCATGATTAATGAGTTTTTTTAAGGACTGTTTACGTCATATTAGATTATTTTTCATGAATATTGTAATGGAATCATGCTCTACAGGTGTACTGTAACTGGTTTATGAATGTTTGATATATGCATCGCAGGTTGTTGTAAAAGTCTCTTAGACAGTTATTGCATTCATGTCGATTTACGATAGATGTAATTTACTTATGAAACATAGTTAGATCTGGATTTCGGAATATATCATTAAGAACCTATAATCACAGTATGGGGTAGATTTGTAATAATGCTACGAAAAAATACCAAGAATTCTGAAAAGCATGCATTTTCCTTTTTAGCGCATCAGACTGGAATGTTCAGGGTTAGATATTAAGTACAGGTGGGCGGGGGGAATGCTGGGGTGTCTGTACTTAAGGACCGAAAATCAGGTGTTTGGCACGCCTCCAGATTGATTTTAATTTTTACATTTATTAACCACCCAAACATCTTAAAATGGGCTTGTCCATCGTTGAATCAGATCATAACCATTCATAATTGTAAAGGAAATTTTTAAAATGAAAAGTAAAAAAGTACATGTATTGACAAAATTTAATATCAAAATATAAATAATTTGAGCTATGCTTATGCAAATGTTTGATTTTAAATAATATCAGTTGTATTTTTTATTTTATTTTTTCATTGTTTGAAAAAATTATTTCTTAATTTTTCTTTTGAAAGCTTCTGATTTCCTTTTTTTTCTTTTCTACTGTGAAGACTTGTAATTTAAACATTTCACACCATCATGTTGTACCAAATTCATTATTTTATTAATATATAACCCACAGAGTGTCCGAGAGAAGGTGACTATAATGTAAATGTGTTTGCAGTTTTGTAATTTTGTCTTTAATTATGCCCCCATTTCGAAGAAAAGGGGTATATTGCTTTGCACTTGTCGGTCCGTAGACCAAATGATTTCCGAGTGATAACTAAAGAACCCTTAGGCCTAGGAACTTCAAACTTGGTATGGTGATTGGTCATGATCAGTAGATGACCCCTATTGATTTTGGGGTCAAGGGGTCAAAGGTCAAGGTCACATTGACCTTGTAAGCAAAAACGGTTTCCGATCAATAACTAAAGAACTTGAAGGCCTAGGAACTTCAAACTTGGTATGGTGATTGGTCATGATCAGTAGGTGACCCCTATTGATTTTGGGGTCAAGGGGTCAAAGGTCAAGGTCACATTGACCTTGTAAGCAAATACGGTTTCCGATCAATAACTAAAGAACTGTAAGGCCTAGGAACTTCAAACTTGGTATGGTGATTGATCATGATCAGTAGATGACCCCTATTGATTTTGGGGTCAAGGGGTCAAAGGTCAAGGTCACATTGACCTCTTGGGTAAAAACGGTTTCTGATCAATAACGAAAGAACCCTAAGGCATAGGAACTTCAAACTTGGTATGGTGATTGGTCATGACCAGCAGATGACCTCTATTGATTTTGGGGTTAAGGGGTCAAAGGTCAAGGTCACATTGATCTTGTAGGTAAAATCTGTTTCCGATCAATAACGAAAGAACCCTTAGGCCTAGGGATTTCAAACTTGATATGGTGATTGGTCATGATCAGTAGATGACCCCTATTGATTTTGGGGTCAAGGGGTCAAAGGTCAAGGTCACATTGACCGCTTAGGTAAAAACGGTTTCCGATTTATAACTTAAGAACCCTTAGGCCTAGGGATTTCAAACTTGATATGGTGATTGGTCATGATCAGTAGATGACCCCTATTGATTTTGGGGTTAAGGGGTCAAAGGGCAAGGTCACATTGACCTTGTAGGTAAAAATGCTTTCCAATCAATAACTTAAGAACCCTGAGGCCTAGGAACTTCGAACTTGGTATGGTGATTGATCATGACCAGCTGAATAAAACAGATGACCTATTGATTTTGGGGTCAAGGGGTCAAAGGTCAAGGTCACATTGACCTTGAAGGTAAAAACGGTTTCCGATCAATTAACTAAAAACGCTTAGGCCTAGGAACTTCAAACTTTGTATGATGATTGGTCGTGACCAGCAGATGACCCCTATCGAGTTTTGGGTCAAGGGGTGAAAGGTCAAGGTCACATTGACCTTGTAAGTAAAAACGGTTTCTGTTCAATAACTTAAGAACGCTTAGGCCTAGGAACTTCAAACTTGGCATGGTGATTGGTCATGACCAGCAGATGACCTATTGATTTTGGGGTCAAGGGGTCAAAGGTCAAGGTCACATTGACCTTGAAGGTAAAAACGGTTTCCGATCAATTTATTAAAAACGCTTAGGCCTAGGAACTTCAAACTTTGTATGATGATTGGTCGTGACCAGCAGATGACCCCTATTGATTTTGGGGTCAAGGGGTCAAAGGTTAAGGTCATGACCAGTAGATACTTGATAACCCTTATTAATTGTTTGATCACTGGGTCAGAAGTCATGCATAATAACCTTATCACATGACTAATTGGCTGCTGATAGGGGGCATACATGTTTTACAAACATATCTTGTTCTTTTAGATAATGAATTATTCTAACCTAGAATTGAACAGTTCTTATATACATGTACAGAATTATATTATGTTCTGATTTACTTTGATTTGGCTAAATCTTGTTTGTCACGGAATGAAGACATTGTGACAGTGAATTGTGATAATGAATTATGACAACTTGTTTTTGTTTTTTTTTAAAGGAACTCCGCTGAGATCAAAAAAGATAAAAAATTTGAAACTTTTGCATAGATCAAGTGAAGCACATAAAATGGAAAAATCTGAGAAGGGTAATAAGGAAATTTAATTGAAAATTTTTTTTTTTTTGTGTGATTCTTGGCCAAATCTGAGTGAGAAAAGCGTTGCAATGCTTTTCATTTTTAGGTATTTTTTGCACAATAAAACAGAATTTACTGGAAAACGAGATGAGAGAATGATCTGAAAATGTGCACACAAGTTATTGATTCAGACCTCCATCAAATGGTTTATACAAATCTCAGGAAAATATTTTCAGTCCCATCATGCCGAAACACCTCAGTGGAGTCCCTTTAACTTTCTTGTTCCTAATAAATATGGAAGGAGGCTGTGTTCTTTGAAATTAATTTATTTGTAAGCTCTATGAAATTTATATATATGTGTGTTTTAGTTTTCTTGTCTTCTATAATAATGTGTATGTGATTTTACTGTGCTTTAGTTAATTAACTTGTTGCGTAGATTTTTAAAATGCATAATTAAAATAGCGTTATTGTATAGTATCTTAATATAAGAAAGTGAAATATTCGTGGCTGGTCACTGCTGTAGTTGTGTATTGTATTGTATGTTTTGCTGTTTTTGTATTTTACTTAAGCACTAAATTTGACAGTTGATTTTTGTTATTATTCAGTATTAATTATAGTTTTTTGCAATTTTTACCAGTAATAACTTTACATTAGTAAAACTTTATCATGAAACAAAACTAATTATTGTTAATTTATGTATGAATTGCTATTTTTTGGACTTATTCTTTTCGTTAATTGAAATAATTTTTTAAAAAATCAGAAAAAATGATAAAAATTGTTGTACAGATCTATTAAAAGTCATTTTAGATAATACATTATTGAAATAACATAATTATGATTTCATTGTTATTATATGTAGGGTGTACAAGCAAAGATCAAACCTTTGGTAAGAAAACTGATTTTGTTGTTTATTTTCAGTCTTGTAGATGAGGAAAGTAGATTTTAATAAAGTTTCAAAAGCTCTTTTTTTTCAACAGAGAAAATAAAATGATGGAAAATCCATTTTTTTAAGGGTATATAACATTAATTTTATTTTTTAAAAATGATGTGTTGACATTGACTTAAAGTTAATTATAAAAGATTGACATTTTTAAATTTGACTGACCTTGGTCAGGCTGAGTGATGAAGGTCACTGCCTTTGAATATTTAAATTGTAACATTACATACATTGTAATAAATTTATATATGTGCAGAGATGCTATTATATGGGTGGATGGTGGCTTGCATTTAAATACCATGAACTTCTTATTAGCCAGGCTGCAACATTTTGCATTCAGCTGCTAAGAGTGTTATCTTGAGTTTTTGTTTAAATTCAATTTACTTGGGAGGATTCAAACTTGAAAATTAATTATTAAGCTCAAATGGTTTTCTATAAGTATATACCTAAAATTGTAGCTAAAGAGTTTTAAATCTTGGATTGTAGACAAAAAATAAAGAAGTACAGGTAACTGTTTGCTGTGTATCTTACGTCAGTATAAAAAATGTAATTGTTGTAATTTTCATAGATGTATTTGATTAGAAAATTAACTTTATTATCAGATTGATGTTGTTTTACGTATTTTTTATAGTGACATACATGTAGAACATTTTGCTGTGTCTGTTTGTATGTAATTAAAGTACCATTTGAGTCACAATTATAATCTTTCTTTTTTGACAAATACTAATGTTTTTGGGGTCAGTAGGTCAAGTTATAACCTTCAAAACTTATAAGACATAAGTTACCTTGAATTTGAAATCAGTTTCCAGTTAAAGGAGCACCGCTGAGGTATAATCATAAGAATTTTAAAATCTTATGTCATGATATCAACTGAAGCCCTTAGAAAAACATATGAGCCGCATCACGACAGAACCAACATAGTGTGTTTGCGACCAGCATGGATCCAGATCAGCCTGCGCATCCGCGCAGTCTGATCAGGATCCATGCTGTTTGCTTACCAACCCTATTACAAGTAGAGAAACTGATAGTGAACAGCATGGATCCTGATCAGACTGCGCAGATCTATATGCGCAGGCTGGTCTGGATCCATGCTGGTCGCAAACGCACTATGTTGGTTTTGTCATGACACGGCTCATATAGAGCTATATGCTCAGAACTAAAAAAAAAGATAATAAGAACAAATCATAGACTGATTTTAAGTTAATTTAAGCATTTAAAAGGTGATTTTCAATTTTTAGGTCATTTTTACACACAGAAAACAATTATTCTGGGAAATTAGGACGGCAAAATGAACCTTAAATTTGCACACAGGTTATTGGTATAGACTTATACCAAAATTGTACATAAATCTAGAAAACATAAATCTGTTTTTTAAACAATTGAAAATATGTTTTGAATTAAATCTATTACAACCATAATTATTTGATATTGAAAAAAATCACATTCTGCTATTAATGTGTACTAATTATATGTATTAAGACATTATTATACTGTTGATGGTGATCATTGAGTGTTACATAATAACATAGTAATTATTGTTGTGTTTTAGTGTTTACTTGTTATATTTAGAAAATAATATATATTGAGTGTAAGTTTTAAACATATATTGAGTGTAAGTTTTAAACATTAATATTTTGCTGATTTGTTGTTGTTGTTGTTGATCTAATTTTGTAAAGAAATGAAACACATTTCTGTGATTGTATGTATGTTTATGTGTGGGTGTGATATGACTATATTGTACTGTACATGTGTTTCTTAATACGATAGTTTGTTTGTTTACAGAATACTTTTGTAATCATTATTGATATTAACATTAAAAGGCTAATTTACATACAAAAATGAGATGATTTGGTTATTGGTTTACTATCATAATGTTTTGTTCCAGGTACCCAGTATATCAGACTTTGATACATTATTTATGCATTTTTTAAATCAAAGGGAAACAAATGGTATCTAGAAATTAATATAAGGTAACATAAGTTGTTCCCCTTTCTTTTATGGTTTGGTGTGGGGTATATAATATACACAAAACTGAAAGAGATTGACTCTTTCAGTTTATACATAATAGATATAGATATTATCTGTCCTCTAAACAAATCAAATGACAAGGCATGTAGTATATTTCTTAAAGTCTCAAGTTAAAGTAATTTGAAATAGTAAATGTTCAATCAATGAAGACATATTTTGCACTGATTTTTCTATTGTTTGATGATCTTCGATGAGAATATGTTTAGTTAAGTTCTGACTTTCAACGCAGGTAACTCTTATCAAATATTATTTCAGGGTTATGTCCCTTCTGTATTTTAAAAATCAGTATTTCATTATCCATTATTGAGAAGAGTGGAAATCTCATCTCAGTTTACAGCTCTTGTTTAGTTACGGAAATATCTGTGAATATTTTTTCAGGATGGATTATTTAAATACAATGTAGAAGTTATTTCAGTGATATATCACTTAAAACCAAGGCAATCATTTTATGACAGTTTGGTTCTGCCAAGAAATAAATATTGAAGTATATACCACAGTTTTCTACCAAATACCAAATACCACAGTTTTAACCACAGTTTATTGTGGCATCTATTCTAGTTGTTATCGGCCCTGAGCTTTTAATCAAAGGCAGGTGTAAGTGAAATTAAATCAGTAAAGTTTCATTCTATTTCTATCTTTTCATATGTTATGTTTGTAGGTTGAGGACTCAATAGCGTCCAAGTCTCCGAGTATTAACCACGAGGCAGAAGCTCTGAAAGACGAGCTCGATGAAGTCACGAAAAAACTCAGTAAGATGGAAGATGACTTGCAGGAACAGGAAAATGAAAACAAGGAACTCAGTGAGTTCGCTTTTTCCAGATTTAATGGAACGTTTTTGTATTAAAACTATTAGCCACACTGAACTGGTGACTTTTAAACAAATGCAATGTTTAATTCATTTTTTGTCATCAAAATTTTGCTCATATTTGTTTGGATGTTTAATTCTTGCTTGAGTCCAAAATTCATTAACTTTATAACATGGTTGTTTGTCTGCTTAGCTGAATAGGGAGGAGAACATTGGATTTGTAATTTAGAGTGAACTGCATAGTTTGATTCTTGAGTGAAGGATATATTCTCTGTCACACTGGGATCTCCGACTTGGAGCCTAATGTTCATTTCTCCTCTGCTGCTGATTCAATTATGAAATCACTTTAAATTAGTAGTCAGTCACAGCCAAAGAAATTGATATTAATTTATTACTGTCAGTAAGGTAGACTGAATGTAAAGATATGACAAAAGATGTATTTAAAATTTGGTAAAAAAAAAAACGATTTCCAAGGAGGTTAGATGGATGGACCAGTATAGCTGAAAATGCAAGGAAATGTTTCCTTTGTGGTAGATTTCTTAACTTAAACTATTTCCAGTTTCATGTTATATCACACCACATCTCACCTGTCATACAAAATGTAATCAATTATTAGCAAACCTGTTTTTTAAGATATCATATCATACCCTAATTTAATGTTTATATTGTTTGCAGACAAAGAAATCAATAAACTTGGAGATGAACTTACTAATGAGAGAATGGAAAAACAACAGGTTTGTTTATTTTCTTTTCACATTGTAACTGTTTTTCTATAATTTTTTTACTTTAAAATTTCTAAAATGTTACTGTCCATTGTTTATGTTAGGGACTTATATATGTGCTACAGTTCACCTGCTTTGCTCAATAGGGAGGTCGTCAGGTTAGTAATACAGGGGTCCCTGGTTCAATTCTCTGACATGGTGTAATTTCTCTATGACAATCTAGGACACTCTGTCTAAAGGTCATGTGAAGTTGTGCATCATTCTGGGGATTTGTGTGGATTAAATAATTAAGTTCTGTTAGAGTTATTACCCTTGACTTGGTAAAAAAGATACAATTATCCCTTTATTATTACAGTCCATGTGTATCAGATTATGACATTTATCTCCCTTTATTATTACAGTTCCTGTGTAACAGATTATGACATTTATCTCCCTTTATTATTTCAGTCCCTTTGTAACAGATTATGACATTTATCTCCCTTTATTATTACAGTCCCTGTGTAACAGATTATGACATTTATCTCCCTTTATTATTACAGTCCCTTTGTAACAGATTATGACATTTATCTCCCTTTATTATTACAGTCCCTGTTTAACAGATTATGACATTTATCTCCCTTTATTATTACAGTCCCTGTATAACAGATTATGACATTTATGTCCCTTTCTAATTACAGCTTCAGATAGAGATTGAGACGATGAAGAATGCAATAGATCAGGATAGGAACAACTCACAGAAAATGGTAAGTGTTCTTGCCAATGAAACTCTTATGGTTAATGGTGTATATATGTTTTTATGTTGTTGTCTTTCCATCCTATCTGAGGAAAATTGGTATGCTTGTTTAATTGTAGGGCATTGAGGATTTGATCACAAAACATGGAGGTATTTGTTAAAAAGGTTAGGGTCATAGGAATTTGCTGACCTATGAAAAAATATTTAAGGTCATGTGTTCAAATTTGGTGGTATGAAATTATAAATGCTAGTATTTTATGAAAGATCTGTATAAGATACTATATAATTATAACAGGTTTTAATTTTCTTGTAAAAAAGTCATTAATATCTTTAGAATTTTTATCTTTAGAATTCAAATGACCTAGGATGATTACGTTGTTTTAGTGTGGAATGGTCTGATAAGCAGGATTTTATGTTTTAATAATGATATAGAATTTAAGGAAAACGATGGCCAAGATACTTTATTATAAAATTATAAAAATGACAAATATAAATTATGATGTAGATTTTACTCAAGTCTGTTTTATATTCCACAGCAAGAGGAAATGGTAATGGATTTTACTAATTAACGACAATCTAACATTCAAGCTAACTTCTTGAAATGAAAACATTATATTATTATATGTCTGTGTTGTTCGTCACAAAAAGAGAACAAATAGCTGTCACACCACATTACATAAATGTTATGTGCTTCTTTCACACACCCATTTTCCTACTACTAATACATAATTTACAGGAAGAGTATATTAAAGTGTTCAGACCTTAGATACGTATATACAAGATGTACCAGTGATTTTCACTGGACATTTCTTGGAAGATATTTTTGTCCATCACCATTTGTCCCTCGCCATTTGTCCATTACTATGTAATTTCATCAGGCTTCTATCTCAAGGGCAGCCATCTTAGAGATAGACTTTAGAGACTGTAATTTTTAAAGTGGGTATCTTTAATAGAAAAGGTGCCTTTATAACACAGAAGATAAAATTTTATTTCTAAAATGGTTACCAATTCAAAACTGTTTTTTGAGTTTTGAGGGTCCTAGGGACCATATGCACTTGTGACTTCTGTAAGATGGCAGTGCCTGGACCAAAACTTGCCTCAGGGATACAGAAAACCTGCGTATAGGGAAATCCCTGTTTATCATTGTTAATACGTTAAGATGTGTTTTCCAAATTATAATTGCACAAGCATATGGTTTTAATTGAAAATCACATTGGATCAATTATGAAAACATAGCTCATCTACTATCACAGTAATTATAACACAATCTTTAATACCACTTTGTGTGTTACATTTATCAAATTAATTAGCAGAAATAAGTGATACATAAATCCACATTCTGTTTATTTCAAAAATCAATTTTATTAATTTGTTCTTTTAATAAGACATGATTAACCCTCCCTTTACTTCACTGATATGTATTAATAATGGATTGTGATGTTTCCAACTCATACAAGCCACTGAATAACCTGTTACAATACTCATATATTGTTTAATATAATTACAATATAATTATTTAGTACATTATTGTCATAATGATTAACTATTATTTACATTTTGTATTTAATTTTTGTCACTCTTTGAAATGTATGAGTATGAATTGTTTGATACAATTGTGCTTTAACATAAAGCCATTGCTTGATGATGATAGCTGTAGCAAGAGGCATATGGCAGCATTGGCTTGAATAGGGCCTATATGTCACAAATTAAAATGGTGACAAAATCATATGGCCGGCAGGAAACTTGCAGTCCTTGTCAAAAGCTAGTTTCAGCTCAGTGTAAAGAAGAAAAACAACAAAGAAAAAACTAGCCTATGCTAAACATTTCATACCCAGTTATGTATTTAATGGGGATGTCGAATGAATTGTCAAAGGGGATCACTTAAAGTTGTCTTTTTTAAGTAAAACTTTCATCATAATCAACCTTAACCTGTTTAAACTAATTAATGATGATTAACATCAAATGTTTGTAGCATAATTATGAGAGTTATATATAACAACAATTTAATACATTTTAAATTGTGGCTTATTTTTGCCATTTTAATTTATAACTGTACCAAATGAAAAAAGCAATACATAATACAAAGTCCAAACCATACAGTTAATTTGAGATTTTTTAAAATCAATTTTAATTAATCACTGATATTAATCACTAGGGGCAGTGTTCTTTTATTACAAGCCATTTTTTTATGTGTCGGTGATCTGTAATTTTTGTTAAATTTTAAAAACCAAATCTACAGTCCTGTAAATTCTGCAATTCAGTAGATTTGTGTGCTAAGAAATCACAAATAGTTGAACAATTATAACATTGCATATATGTGTGTGAGAAATACAATATTTCAACTGTAGTTATATTATATATTGTTTTGTGTTAGAACTTAAAATATCACATTTAAATCTAGTATATATAAGCATCACTGTTGTAGAAGGATTCACATGCTATTTAAACTTGACTTTCTGTTATTTCTTTACAGTCTGCAGGAGTAAGTTATTTTTTCACTGCTGACTCATCAATCTTTCTTTTCTATAATCTCTATCTTGAGTCAGCATTTTTTTATGCTTTTTATAGTATTACACAGAAAACTATCTCCATTAACACACACTTGTATTGGTGATTGAATAACACTGCTATGTATACTATCATTTGGAAATACAATTTTAATTTTGAGTGTGTTTTATTGAGAACATTAATTCTTGCTTTGTTGTATAATGTTGCATGGGTTATAATGTTCAGATGTGCTGTTTATAATACAGTCATTAATGTAGTCAGACTAAATTGTGTCATTTCAAAGCATCTGAACGTGGAATCATGTAAAATTATCACACAAATCTGCAGAAATTATGAGCATCCAATTTCATTCTTATTTGCTCTCTTTAAGTAAAAGAAATTTGTGATTCTAGCCTATTTGAATACTCTTCAAAGTGGAGGTAATGCATTATGGTTGGTACTTCAGCCTGCTGGAAGCAGCATATTCTATATATGCCAGCAGTGCAGACCAAGATCTTTGCTGTCTGAACATTCTCTGCACTGCTTACTATTCAGTCAGTATAAACAGTGCAGACCATGATCAGATGGCATATAATGACATGCCTGTTAATCTTGGTCTGCACTGGTTGCATGGGTATAATATTCAGTTGCTGCCAGGAGCCTGAGCGTTAATTAAACATCTGAAATGGAAGAAGTTACAGTAATATAAAATAGCAAAAGTGATAGATCGTAATGATTCAAGCCATAAAACACTCAAAATTAGAATTGTTTCTATTCTAACATGTTTTAAATAAAACTCAATCAGTATAATAATATATGTTAGACTGACACAGTTTAGCAGGGTCAAAATATAAGTCATTATATAAAATGAAGTTGATTTTACATCAGTATAGTTTGCTATTATAATAACTCTCATCTTTGAATTTTTACCGTACTGTAATATGATAATGGGCTTGTCCTACATTGAGTTTGGAATTGTCCATTTTTAGCTCGACTTTTCTATGAAAAGGGGAGCTATCCTACTCGCCCCGGCGTCGGCGTCGGCGTTAGCGTTAGCGTTGGCGTCACACCTTGGTTAAGTTTTTCGTACCACCCCACTTTATTTCAGAAGTATTACAAGTATGGCTTTGAAACTTACCATACTTGTTCACCATCATAACCTCCATCTACAGACAAGAGTACATAACTCTGTCAAGGTTTTTGACAGAATTATGGCCCTTTTTTGACTTAGAAAGTGTATTGAGCTTGGTTAAGTTTTTTGTACCACCTCACTTTATTTCAAAACCATTGGAGGTATTGCTTTGAAACTGACCATACTTGTTTACCATCACGACCTTCATCAACAGACAAGAGGACATAACTCTGTCAAGGTTTTTGACAGAATTATGCCCCTTTTTGACTTAGAAAATACATTGAATATGGGTAAAATCCACTTATTGCCTTAACCCTTTGAGATATTGCTTTGAAACTTTTAATGCTATTTCACATCATTACCCCCATCTGTACGCAAGAGAAGGTAACTCTGTCAAGGATTTGTTTTAAAAATTAAGGCCTTTTATCGACTTAGAATCTTGGTTAAGTTTTTAGTACCAGTCCACTTTTTGACTGAACTGTTTGAGATATTAATTTGAAAGTTGGAATACTTGTTTACCATCATGGTCCCAAAACATGGGCAGGAGAAGGTAATTCTGTTAAGGATTTTATTTGAATTATGGCCCTTTTTGACTTAGAAACTCAGTTAAGATTTTCATTCTTGTCCACTTGTTGACTTAACCATTTGAGATATTACTTTGGAAGTTGGAGTTCTTATGTGCCATCATGAGACCTATCTGTAAGCAAGAGAAGATAACTCTGTGAAAATGTTTCTTGATATGTACTTAGAAATTCCTAGTTAAAGTCTTGTGTGCCCTTAACTGTCAAAGTTTTGTTTTATAGGCAAGCACTAAAAAAGTCGAGCGCGCTGTCCTTCTGACAGCTCTTGTTATGATTGGGGATTTCAGTATCAACATTCAAATTCAAATTGAGCAGCCAACATTCATGAGTGTGGTTGAATAATGCCTGGTGTAGAATACCTATTGGTATCACCCAAATAGTTTCTGCTGATTATGTTAAATGACATTGTCCAACTTCTATTTCAAGAACGGGGTAACGGATACCCACATCCTATCTTTTAATATTTATTTTGATTACATTTCAATCAATCGTTGGTATGATTTTTAAAGAACCGTCCATTATCAATTTTCGGGCTTTCAAGATAAAAAACTATAGTTAATAAGACACTAGTAAAGAGCCTTGGGTCAGACTGAAATTAATGGATGTACAGCCTTCCTGGCTCTCTACTCAGAAGACAAAGGAGTTTATCTGAATTTCAGTTCCATTAGCTTGTGGGTTCAAAAAGGCATTAATTGCACTAAAACAAATCTACAACAAAACTGAAATAAAAATAAGATTATGTTAGAATTATGCTTTTACAACAAGCTTTTTTCAACATCCTTTTAGACTTAATTTTTTTACTATTCTTTCAAATCCTTGCATGTGCACATTTTTAAATACCTGTCCCTTAGCTTTTTATGTTTTTTGAAAACTGTTGTTTAATGGTAAGTGGATTAAATTTGTGATATTTGTCAAAGGATTGTGATGCATGTGCAAAGTTCATCTGCTTATCTATTGAGGTTATTTTGCAGATATTGACACTTTTCTTCTAGCTTCTTATACTAACACTTTTAAATTACTTGATTTTATGCTTTATTTGATTAAGACGAAAAAAAGATTTAGCTTGCACTAGCCCCCATCCTGCACTCTATAAACCCTACCCCAACCTTTAAGCAACCTCACTCTACCAAATTGCAATTCCCATAGTCAATATCTAGATCGACCCAGTGGTTTAGTTCCCTTGATTTATAAATATACAGTGTTGTTTTTTGGGTTTTTTTAACTTCCAGGACACTTTTAGTTTTATGGCATAATTTGGCAATCAAATTAATTTGGCATGAGAATGACCTGAAAGGATTTTTGAACATCATTTAGAATAACAAGTTTTCAGATTTTAGAAATTAGCAACTTTTCTGCTTAATTGTCAATTAATATTAATTATAAATGTGCAAAAACAAAAAAACACTATTAAGAAGTACCGTAAAATTCCTATTAAACGCCCCCGGGGGCTAAACATTTTACAAAAGGGGGGCTATTATTACAACACAGTTTTTCCTAAATCCAAAAATCATTGTAAATACATTTAGTGTTAGCAAGTGTTGGTAATAATAACATTAAAAGTGTTAAGATTTTAAAGTTCATACTATAAAATAAAATAGATTGTGAATGATTTGAATGAAATTATGGATTTACTCATGAGTTTAGCACTGATGCGTAGATTGTTTTTCTTATCAAAAGGCCTGGGGGGCCTTTATTAGGGGAGGGGCGTTTATTAGGAATTTTACGGAATTCTTTTTTGCTGGCATAATACTTTATTCTGATGACATGAAATTGGGCCTTTCTGGTGCCTTGGTATTCTACATTATTATCTATACAGTGGTGACATGATTTTTTACTCTTAAAACATAAAATTCTCTTCTGATAACAAATTCTAATGGCATCATATTCTATTCTCAGGTGACATAAAATTCTATTCTCAGGTGACATAAAATTCTATTCTCAGGTGACATAAAACCTGACATAAAATTCTATTCTCAGGTGACATAAAATTCTATTCTCAGGTGACATGATATTCTGTTCTCAGGTGACATAAAATTTTATTCTAGTGACATAAAATTCTTTTCTTGTGACATAAAATTCTATTCTCGGGTGGCAAGAAAAAATCTCTTCTCTGAGGTGACATAAAATTCTCTTTCTGAGGTGACATAAAATTCTCTTCTAGTCATTTGGATGACTGACAGTAGTCTGATTTTTAGTTTCATTGATGTGGAATAACATTCAGATGACATGAAGTTCTTTTATTTTCTGACCACCTTGATTTGTATATTAAGCATGTTGTGCACAAGAAAACTATAATGCATGTATTATATTCAGACAAATGTATTTGTAAATATAGATGGCAAAACAGAAAGAAGAAATGGAGAGAATGATGCGTGAAAAAATGGCCCAGGCACAACTAGCTGTAAGTATGGTTATGAAAATAACATAAAGGATGTCCTCATTTGTATGAGGTAATTGAAATGATTGAAGTAAGTGCAAAGGGGTTCTTTTTAATTGTGTATATTAAGGTAGGGAAAATATTGAAGAAATATAGTAACATTTATAATTATTTATCTAAATAGGTATTACATGTATTACACATTTTATTATATTTCTATATCATGTATATATTCCTTAAGCATTTTAAACAAGGGACATAATGTGAAGAACATTACCTCCCTTGTTTTCAATACAAATGGGAATAAAATTTCATTGCATCCTGTTGTATAATATCTTTACTTAATTTATCAATTTCAGAATTGTACTGAAGTGCACTTTAAGATAATATAGGGTTTTTGTAAGGAGCATAATTATTGAAATATTTAGAACCCTGAGTCTTGTATTTGACTGAAGTGGATATTACGAGAACAGGATATGTTGCATAAGTAGCAATTGTGCCAATTGTTTTGGTTTAGTAAAAATCTTTTTATCAATTATTTTATATGCAACCTCATTGTAAAAATTACTGTAGGTAGCATTGTGTCTGCAATGTTGACATCATGCTTGATCACACAGACATGTTTAAATATGCTGATTGCCTGCTGTTGTAAACATGAAATGACAAAATAAATGAGGTTTCATAATGCATATATTTAAATGAAATATATAACATTTAATTTTGGGTTCTACAGATTATAAGTTTTATAAATATGTTGTTATGAAACTGTTTTATTAATTAATAGACAAGTGAAGCAGCCGAGGCCCAGCTACGAGCTAGAGAGCAGGCCGAGAAAGATAAGATGGCGCATTTACATGATCAGGAGAGGAAACTCAAGGAAGAACTTGCTAGGGTATATATTTCCTCTTTAAACATTCTTTACAGTTATATTTTATGAGAATCTATCACGGACTGTTTGCACAGACTGGAATATCTTACTGGAGACTGTTTACAGTGGTAACGAGGCTCTGCAGAGTTTCATCTAGACACTTATCAGACTGATTCTGAGAGCTAGATTATAAGAATCTTTAACACTGGCTGCCGGTACAGATCGGAATATCTAGCTCAAGGGTAACTGTTTACAGCAGTATCGTCTCAGGCTCTGCCAAGTTTTCGCTACACAGTTACCCGAGCTAGATATTCCCATCTGTACCGACAGTCAGTGTTTGATTGCATATTACAGTCATATCATTATTCAAAAGAAATTAAGATATCATAATTTTTAATACATTCACTTTGAGTTAGAAATATTTTCTAATAGTATGTGACTATGTTCTCATCTACATTAAGAGTATAAGATGTCAGAGTGTTAAAAACTAATCAAGGGTACGTTTATACCACATAAGTAATGTAAGCATTTTTTTATATTCTTTTGTAAAGTACTGAGACCAACTTAAGGTATTTTCCAAACTGATGAAACAGTTGAAAATTGTGCATTATAACTTTTTACTTCTGAAAAATTGTGAAAATTCCTCACTATAATCTCAGTTATATAGGCTATTTATATAATGTATGTCAATCACAAAAAGTGAATGTTTTTTATATATTTTTTTATTTTTCTGATAATTTTTTAAACAGATTTATATCTTTGCTATAATTTTCCAAATTAAAAGGTAGAGTATTTTAAAAAGAGGTTTTTTTAAAAAAATCTCTGATAGTATTTTATCTAATAAGAAAAACAATAAAAGTGGAACAATTTACAATCAACAGAGGATAAGTTTTAAGATTTATTTAATGATGAGAACCCTATTTTTTCAAGTTCAAAGTTTTAAAATACATATAATCATTGTGACCATAAGTATATAACTTTTCTTGTTGTCATGGCAGGTCTTTCAAGGCAAACTTAATGAGGTTAGATATCTCACCTATATATATCATTTTCACATGTATTATTCTGTGCAGAAGGTTCTCATTTTCTCTTGTTTTCCTTATGACTTGAGTTTTATTGTTTAGTCAAAGTTAAGTCCGAGCAGTGCTACATTCAAATCATATGGATTTGGTTTATACAGAATTTTCTTAGTTTGATCATGTAGGAAGCTATAAATTTTAATAGACACACTTTTGGATCAGTTCCCCAGGAACCAACCATTATCAAGGAATCATTATTAAAGCTTCTTGCTCAAGGAAACAACGACTTGCCCCTGTCAGGGTTTGAACCCATGCGGCTAGCGATCATTGAATTATTAGTCTTGAAGCGTTAATCACTCAGTTTTATTAATTGGCAAGTTTTATGCATTTGCATCAATGTCATGACTTGTTTGGCAGATCTAAAAATAAATATGCTTGGGTTTTTCACTCGACTTACAGCAGGTTCTGGAAACATAAAAATGTAGGAACCTATGACACGCAAGTTGTTGTCCATAAGTATGTTTGAAATATAACGCAGGCTAGTTGATGACTACATGTACATTGTATTCAATAAGAAAAGGATTTTTGTATTCTTCAGTTTTATAGTTCAAGTGAAATATGGAATATATTCCCACTTTCATAACTATTTTTCATATTTGTTTTTAACAAATATGAAGTATATTTGACTGATAAAGCACCATATTCTATGGGTAAAACCTAAATATTACATATACAATTAATTGAAAAAAGTGATGTCATGTAATAAAATAATTGTCTTACTTATTTAAAACAAATCTTCATAATAAAATATTTTTTTACAAAGGAAGAACATGATGGTGACAATAAAAGAATGTCTGTTCACGAGACAAACTTCACATTGTTTGTATGAATAATCCCATATAATATACAACTATTATAAACATTATTTCATATGTCTAAAATCATTATATTTTCACTTTTTGATGATTGAAATAATGAGTATTTACCCATATGATTTATTATTCTCTGTGATTTACATAATTAATACTACTTTTCACATTGTATTGCCTACTCTGGTAATAATGGTTACGGTGATGGTAATGTATACTGATTGTATAATTAAATATGGAATATATTTCACTGAGATAATATGAAACTTTTGAATATTTTCAGCCATTAAGCTTCATGATTTCAATTTAATAAAATAATTTCAAAGATGTAATTAAAAAATATATCTTTTATTCATGTGAAATTAAAAAATCAAGGTGAATAATATTTATAATAACTCACTAGTACAGTTATTTCACTGATAAGCGTTAATTGGACACAATGACGGGGTATTGACGGTTCAATAAGTGCAAAAGTTATATTGAATTACTTTAATATTGTGATGTCATCCTTTTAATGGGAAGTTAATTGAATCAGAGGTCCAGTGGTCAAGTGGTTCAGATTACTGACTTTGAATCATTAAGCCACTCATAATTGTGTGTTTGAATCTTGTGAGTGACTGAATAATCTTTTGAGATGGATGTAGCTATCGAAAATCAATGGTTCTACCCAGTTACTTCCTTGTGTTTCAAATAAAGCTCAGAGGCCAGTCACCGGGGATCTGTCTCTGCCCATAAAGCTTGAGAATGGCCATAGATATGCCTTTAATTTAGTGCTAGTGTTACTTAAAACTTGGTATAATCAAAGTGTATACATTATTTTCATCTTGTTTGTACTGTTAATTCATGTCATTTTTCATCTACTAGGATAGATCACTCTAAGTTTGGATTGAAGGTTACTGGCTGTTGTATATACACATTTTCTATATTGTATTCACCCACATTAATGTCTCAGCGCAATTACTATGGTGGCAGAGCATTTACTTCACCAGGACATTTGTTGTTCACCTATCCAAAATTGTTATAAAGTTGTTATACCAGATTTGAAAGTCTTGTAATGTTATGAAAATGATGCATGCATACTAACAACTTAAATTTTCCTGCTTTTTTTTCGTATTTTATTGGATCACCAATTAGCATGATAATAATAAATATCTGAATTGAGATGTTGTGAATGTTAAATTTGAAATGAGGTAAAAGGTTCCTTTTTTTAAAAGATACTTATTTAACAGTATTTGAAATGAAAACTCCAGATAATGTGGCTAAATTTATGTGGCATTTTTGAGAAAAGGCAATTCTGTTTGATCAAAATGTGTCACAGTATTTAGTTGTCTTATTGTTCATTAAAATTACTGTCCTTGATGTTTGTATAAATGCCAGAGGTAAGCTATAATGTTTGAAGTTAAGGTTCTTTCATTTTCATTTCCTTTTACCAGTAAATTTTAATCTTTTCATTAATTCCAGTTTGATAATACAATAAAAAGGTTATTTCTACTAACATATAATGTTTCATATACTGTAGAAGGCATATGTTTGATTGTAGTTATAATGAAAGTTTAAATGATGTTTTTTTATAACAGGAAAGAGCAAAACTCGCGGAGGCATTGAAAGGTGATACAGATGTGAATAAAATACGAAAAAGTGAACAAATGCTGCGGGAGGAAGTTGCAAGGTAACTTGTTTGCTTGGGTTTGTTTTTTTTTTTGGGGGGGGTGCTATTTTTTCATTGTTTTTATCACATTTTTTCATATTTTATTATAACATGTATGACAATCATAACAAATGCAAGATTTTATTGTTGAACAATTATCTTTCCAGACTAAAACGTGAAATTGAGCGTATACACAGAACCTGGGAAAAGAAGTTTGCCATCTTGCAACAGAGGTAAAGTCTGGGTTTAACAATACATAACCCAACATTTTATTTCAACATTTGTATAGAAGTTGAAGAAAGTTTTACTTTTTATACCATACTGATATGGCAGTCAAGTGAATTATTTATAATTTACTAAAAAAAGGAATGTCTGATATGATGTCTATAAATCATATGTCAGAAAAATACTTCTACTATCAATGTAGTTCAACATATTTTTATCAATTCTCTATTTTTTTATTTGCATGCTAGAATGGAAATAGATTATTCTATAACAATGCACTCAGAATTGATACCTATTTCCTGAATAATGTGAAAATACAATTTCCTCAAAAAAAGGGTTTCCCTAAACATTTTCAGACAAATAAGTGATAAAGAGGCTACAAACTAAGTGTCTGTAAATTTCTTAAAGACAATAACTTTTGGTGAAATTTTGAAAACAAGAGTTTATGAAATGCATAATGCTAGCTAATAACATTTTTTCTATATTTGAACATGCTGGCATTACGAGTCTAAAATACTTGATTCACTTAGCTTTTTTATCCATCAAGATAATTTTATGCTTTCTACCTAGGAAGCTTAGCTATATTCTATTTCTTTGCCAGATTCAAGCTAATTTTAATTGATTAAGGAACTTGTGTGTTTATAATGCATACAATTTCATGTTTTACAGTTTACATGCATTGAAAGATGAGAGTTATATAAGACAACAATTACAGAGACAGGCTGCTAATCTTCACCATGCTGCAGTTAGCTACTCAGTAAGTTATCCAGTAATTAATTATCACACAGCAGTTAGCTACTCAGTAAGTTATCCAGTAATTAATTATCACACAGCAGTTAGCTACTCAGTAAGTTATCCAGTAATTAATTATCACACAGCAGTTAGCTACTCAGTAAGTTATCCAGTAATTAATGATCACACTCAGTAAGTTATCCAGTAATTAATTATCACACAGCAGTTAGCTACTCAGTAAGTTATCCAGTAATTAATGATCACACTCAGTAAGTTATCCAGTAATTAATTATCACACAGCAGTGAGCTACTCAGTAAGTTATCTAGAAATTAATTATCACACAGCAGTGAGCTACTCTGTAAGTTATCCTGTAATTAATAATCACACTCAGTAAGTTCCAGAAATTAATTATCACGCAGTAGTAACCTACTCTGTATCCAGTAATTAATTATCACACTCAGTAAGTTATCCAGAAAAAAATTATCACACAACAGTTAGCTACACAGTAAGTCATCCAGTAATTAATTATCACAGTAAGTTATCCAGAAATGAATTATCACACAGCAGTTAGCTACTCAGTAAGTTATCCAGAAATAAATTATCACACTCAGTAAGTTATCCAGAAATTAATTATCACACATCAGTTAGCTGCTCAGTAAGTTATCCAGTAATTATTTATTACATGGCATTTTAACAGTAATAAATTATCACACATCAGTTAGCTACTCAGTAAGTATCCAGTAATTAATTATCACACTCAGCAAGTTATCCAGAAATTAATTATCTCACATCAGTTAGCTACTCAGTAAGTTATCCAGTTATCAACTTATTAACTACCATATAAGAATTGCTTTCTCTTATAAATGTAAAATCATTCTTTAGTATTATCTTATAATAGCATATAATTTCACAGCCTTATTCAAAACGACAAAATGACCCCATCCCAATGTAAAAGATTGTATTGTAATTGTTCTTTTTACAGGCCGATGCTCCAATTGGAATTCATCCTTCATCAAAGCATGCTAGCCCTACTAAAAGACCATTGGTAAGTATATGTACACATTGTATGAACTTGTTACAGAGGATATTGAATGTGTGTAGTGATACTGAATTTATTGAAGGAGTTGAATAAGATCATAATAATTATGCGAGCCTATGGCAAGCATAATTATTATTGTTTTATTCAGCAAGTTCAACAGTAGTATTGAATCTACATGAATATGATATTAATTTCATCACATATTCAAAATATTAACAGTTTACAGTTAAAAAGAATAATTTTTCATTGACTCGCCTATAGTGTAATGCTAACATTAGCGTGCTTTAATGCTCTTTTTGTATATAGGGCAAAATTAATGATGTCATGTCAGAGTGTTATTACACTAGTGTAATATCTTTTTATTAAATGGCTTTATAACACTCCTAGGCTGTAGTTTTGTGATGAATTGAATTACTATATCTGTGTGAAATTACCCAATTACTTTAATACATTCGAAATTTTGGCATATATTTTTATCAATTTGAACCAACATTTGACTTTGAAAGCTTTTTTGCGTTTGTGTTCAACTGCACAGTAATATAATCATGTAGGTATGATTTAAGAAATAATATATACCAAACTGTGATTTTATCGCTCAATAAAATCACTGTTTGGAGTTAAGATGCGACAAAATATATCACATATATAATGATTACGTCAAATGTCTAAATATAGAATGTCAACAGTGGTTTTATTGCATAATAACACACACTTTCGGTCCTTCTATGTTCAATAGGGAAAAATGCGGGTCATGTTAGAAAGAATAATTGCAAACCATCTGAATGATAAACTGTGCAAAACTCTATCAACATGCAAAAGAATTTGTTTCTGATTCAATGCTTATAGCATTGGAATCAGTTTTACTTTGTTGAACTACATGCAGTACAGATTGATGGTGTAGTTAATTTCATGGCATTTGGTTTGTTGACATCATGCAACTTGTACAAAATCTAATAATATGTAATTTTGAACTGCACTATAATGTTGAATTTGGCAATATAAATTTTTTGCAATACTTATATAACTGTTCTGTAAAACTGTATATATTTCCGTATATATTTCAGCCTGATATTCCAAAATATGCAAAACCTATCAATCCGAATGCTACACCAGGCGCACCACAAGAGAAAGACTATATATCTTACACGGTGTCGGCACCCAGCGGACGTGGAACGGCAATCTTCTCTACAGATGGTAATGTTTTACAATTATTAACGTGCTGTTAAATGGACTTGTCCTTTCTTAAATTTACAACTGTCAATTATTAGGTAGAGGGTTTTTATGTTAGGAACAAGCTTTCTTGCATAGCGTGAGTTTTACCCATGCTGGAAATTTCATCCCCTCAGGACAGATATTCCAATCTGAACCGCAACATATGACAGATATTATTAGTATAGAATCTGGGTTAGAGGTTATAAAGAAATGAGCCGTGTCATGACAAAACCAACATAATGGGTTTGCGACCAGCATGGATCCAGACCAGCCTGCGCATCCGCGCAGTCTGATCAGGATCCATGCTGTTCGCTATCAGTTTCTCTACTTGTTATAGGGTCTGTAAGCGAACAGCATGGATCCTGATCAGACTGCGCGGATGCGCAGGCTGGTCTGGATCCATGCTGGTCGCAAACCCACTATGTTGGTTTTATCGTGACACGGCTCAAATATTCTCACTTCAAACTCAGATCTCAGGCTTCTAATTGGTCGGAAACCAACACAGAATGAAGACTGTCGGAAGAGAAAGTTTTAATATTTTAGATATTGTTAGCATTAAAGACGAGAGTGCCGTGTAAATATTCATATTTGAAGACACATATCTCACAAAAAAGAAAGAACTATTTTGTTCTTATTTAAGTATTGAATAGATTCTGATTTGACTTTCTCAGTGACTGATATATTTTAAGTGACAAAGGTTATATGTCACTGATGTAAATTCCAAATATAATTTTACAGAATAATGTAGACATTTTTATCAACTATATTATAAAGTAGGCACATACTTTATGACTAAAATTATGCTTACTTTTGTGAATTTGTGTTAATATAAGTGTATTTGGGTTTATTTCAAATAGAAAACCAGATTATGTCAGAGAATGACAGAGAAGATATCCCAGCTGATGTTGTGCCTCTACCTGAAAGACCTGCAAGGTATGTTGTCTCCTTGGTTTGTAATAAATTAGAATATTTGTTCAGCGGAAAAGTGTTAGAATCAATAGTATCAAAAGATCGAACTTTTATTTTTATGATAAAAAAAGAGTGATGGAGTCAAGTTTGGCAGGCATACCTTTATCAACAGTATGGTGTTGGGCCAGTCAATGCACCAAGATATGTTCACAATACTTTTTCAGTACTTTAATCAAATATGGCATATATGCTGTAACTAAGAGCCATATTATATGGCCCATATATTTTGACCAACTAGTAAATTGGATGATCTTGTCAAAATTTTATGATATAGGTGAAATATTGCCTAAAAGTTTTTTTGTTTTTTTTTGTTACAAGCCTGATACTAATTTTGAACTGTTCAATATTCATAATGTAGGACAAATTCAAGTCACAAAATCATTGGTAAAAGCCATTATCCATATTAGTCTGTACAATTCCTTTAATATTAGTTTGTCGTTTTACACAAATCAGTCATACATTGTTTTGATATTTTAAGTTTCAGTCTTACATAAAACACATTGACTTAATGTAATGCTGAACAAGAAGCTTTGCTATTTTTGTATCATATTTCGTCATTATTTTTAGACTAGGGAATCAACAGAATTTGACAAAAGTTACGTGGTAAGAAACAATGTAAATTACAACTCTCTTGAAAATTTCACTAATTTGTAGAGAATATTTCTGCACTGAGCATGCTGAAAGCTTGAAATCCCCTGGATCATACATTTATCATGCTTCTACATGACATAGATCTTTGTTATTTTCATACTTCTACATGACATTGATCTTTTTTCATTTTCATACTTTTACATGACATAGATTTTTTGTCATGCTTCTCCATGAGATAGAGTTTTGACATTAATCTTCTACCTGACATAGAGTTTTGTTATTATCATGCTTCTATACTACATTGAACTTTTTTTGTGTTCATACTTTTACATGACACAGATTTTTGTCATGCTTCTCCATGAGAAATTCTTTGACATTTATCTTCTACGTGACATAGAGCTTTGTAATTTTTTCTTCTTCATGATATTGATCTTTTTTTAGTTTCATACACCTACATAAAACATGTTTTTGTCGTTTTTGTCATACTTCTGTGTGACATAGATCTATTAAAGTATCACACTGCTGCATGTCATAGATCTTCTGTGGCTACCATTTCCTTGTTTTATATTGTACATGTATTTTGTGAGGACAGGTTAAAGGTCATTTGAGTAAGCTCATTTTAAGGGCATTTGGGTCAATATATCTCAGACACTTTCTTCTTTATGACAATTTGGTTTCTTACAATATTTTTTTAGCTCTCTATCACTTTCTGTGAAACATAACATTGATTGTAGAATGTCAATTAAGTACTGGTTAACTATTCATAAGCAAGTTAACTGCCCAGTGTTTTAATATGACTGAAATGATACCTGAAATACTGTTCTATAGACTAGCTAAACTGATGCTAAATCGGACATCTAGCATTACTTTAAAATTCCTAATTAAATAAAAGGTTGCTCAGTTCAGAATCCAGTTTATTAGATTTTGTTATTTGGTTTAGACTGATAACAAGAAGTTCATTCTTTAACAATAGTCACGTATGTTTGGAGTTTGTTCCCAATACATGTGATTGTCTTTGTTAAATTTTATCATATGTTCATAGTTGTTAACATTTGTTCATAGTTGCTTTTTAACACACGTTCATAGTAAATGTGTTTATCAGAAATTTTCTTTTGAAAAGTTGACTACCATAGTTAAATGCAGTCTAAAATAGATACAGGTAACATAAATGCTGTAGATTTATGCTTACCACCTTTTGGCAAGGATAAGTCCTTGGCTTAGGTAACTCACTGAAAATCATTGCTGCAAGCTTAATATTTTCCAATGGTTCTTTTAACTTAACCGCATCAATGCACATATCTCAATATCATGGACTAAATTTAATTTGAGAGTGCTAAAACGGTCTGTATGAAGGCATTTGTTTGGCCGGCAATTGGTTTTTAATACTCTCTCCAAGGATTTCCCTTAGGCAGTCTGAGAATTTTTCTATCTTTATTTACTTTTAATTTTAAATCTATGAGAAGTCTTTACATGCTTTTAATGTTTACTTTTTTGATTTTTGTAGACATTCTATTTGCATTGTTCATTATTCTAACATTCTGAAGCTTATTAATTCACTCGTCACATTTACAAATCTTTTTACACAATAGTATTATCACTTTCATTTTATTTTTTACATCAATCACAGGTTTATTTTGACCTTTGTATAGATTAAGTTAACTTTAGCCTGTTACGAGGGGTAATAAATTCTACACTTGGATGCAACCGGTGCATTTTTCGTAATTAATACAGTATATAATTTGAATTTTCTCCTAAAAATGATGAATTGTTAAATCTAGATTGAAAGACGGATATGTATTTTTAAGATATTTTACTTGGTAAGGATTATTTACAAGCGATATATAAAAGGGCATTGATCATAAGACATAATTCATTCTCTGAAAAGTTTTACAGATTTTTACCGTTAAGAGTTACTTAAATATTCCATTACAGTATCATGTTTATTAAAGGACTTTTGAATGTGTTAGAATATACTTAAAATATATTCAAAAAAAGTACAAGGGACAAAAATGATTTCCGGGACGCACCCGTAACTGTCACAAGATTTCTGGGACATTCCAAGATTTCTGGGACATTCCCGTACGTCCGGGATGTCATGACATGTACACTACATTGTTATTGCTACCTATCTGGGATTGAGATGAAGCAAAAGATCTCTCTGTTATTTAATGACATAAAATGAAGGTGTCATTTACAGAGCAATCTTAATGTTTAGTTGTCTGTAAATATTGTAATGAGTAGTATATTCCGTGATTTAATGATATTATATTTTACTCTCCTCAAGGACTGAAATTTTTACCAATTTCTTAAATTCAAAGTTTTTTTGTTTCTTTCAGAAAATCTACAACCTCAAGCAAGCAGTCAGCTGACACTGATATTTTAAATGG